CAGCTTCCTGAGACTCCTGCCTAGGGATGGCCTCACAGATGGTTGTCCCCCTCAAGAATCTGAAGAAGCCACTTGGAAAATTAGATCTGTTCAGATCCCAGGGCTCTGGGGAGCCACATACAGAAAGGAAGGAGAGAAAGAAGGAGACGAGGCAGTGAGAGAAGACCAGTCTTCAGCACTATGGACAGCTCCAGGCCAGGGGTCCCAGGAGGCAGGAAGGAGGGACAAGCACTATAGAGGCCAGCTGGCATTCGCCAAGTGCCCATCCCTGTGCTGGGGACTATTCACTCAACCTACCGAGAGAGCTGTTATTACTATCTCACTACACAGATTTTTTTGAAAAGTATGGCCCAGAGAGGTTAGGTAGTTTGACCAGGACCCAGAGCCATTAAGTGGGGAGGCCTGGCGGTGTCACACACATCTTGGAGAACTAGAGAGGAGGTTTTTCTACCTTCCTTTAGGACAAATACCTATGTGGAGGTAGAAACCTCAGTCCAGAGGACTTACAGACCTCCCTCCTCCACCTCTCTCCTACCCAGGGGAAATTAACTTGTACCAAGCTCACTGACTACTGTGAGCTAGCATCATTCACGCCCCGCCTCACTTAACCTGCACAGCAACCTCGTCAAGCAGGTGTTGTTTTGTTTACTTTATGACACTTTATTCATTCAACTAATATCTACTGAGCACCCACTTCCTGGTTTTGCCAAGGGAGAGGCAGAGCCGCCACTTTCCTCCCCTCAGCCCTGTGCCTGGTCCCTGTGCTTCAGATACTCAAGCTACAGCAACAAAGGAAGAGAGCACTTTCTTCTCACAGAGCCCTTTACAGTCGGGATGGGGAGGGTGTGAAGACCAACACACAGTCAGCATGACAGGCAGCAGATGAGTTCTCCATGTTATAAACTGGGGTGTATTTAAAAAGGTAGAGAAGGGTGATGTCATGGTTTGGATGTGAGGTGTCCCTCAAAAGCTCACAAGTGAGACAATGCAAGAAGGTTCAGAGGACAAATGATTGGGTTATGAGAGCCTTAACCCAATCAGTGAATTAATCCCCTGATGGGATAAACTGAGTGGTAACCGAAGGCAGGTAGGGTGTGGCTGGAGGAGGTGGGCATTGGGGGTGTGGATTTGGGTATTTTTTATCTGGTGAGTTCTCTCTCTCTCTCTCTCTCTCTCTCTCTCTCTCTCTCTCTCTCTCTCTCTCTCTCTCTTTGCTTTTTGGTGCTCATATGAGCTGCTTCCCTCCACCACACTCTTCCGACATGATATTCTGCCTCATCTCAAGTTCCGGGGAATGGAGCTATCTGCCTATGGATTGAGACCTCTGAAATCATGAGCCCCCAAATAAACTTTTCCTCCTCTACAATTGTCTGGTCGGGTCTTTTAGTCACAGCAGTGAAAAACCTGACTAAAACAGGTAATAATGCTATGTGTATTATAATTCAGTGTAAGTGGTTTTCATATTGCTGCTCAGTCTTTGTATTATACTTTCCACAGTCCTGAAACACATAGTGTTGAAGATGTAACTCAGTGGTAGAACATTTGCCCAGTGGGCCTGAAGCCCTGGGTTCCAGCCCCACTACTAGATGTGCACGTGCGCACACACACACACACACACATACATGCACATATTGAGTGGATAGGTCATAAAAACATAAATACTTTCTGGCTGTATATTTTTATTTAGACCTAATCTTCTTCTGGAAGGACTCCAGCGCCCCTGCTGTTGTACCATGCATGTGCCTGTTTATTCTCAGACCACTTCCCTGGACTGACTGGGCTCCCAAGAGGCAGGAGAGACTCTGTGCCACAGGGGCTGATCCTGAAACTTTGCTTCCCACCACCCCTTGCCATAGGCCTCTGGCTGGATCCAGCCAACAGGAAACACTCGCAGGCGATGGAGGAACAGGAGAAAGGAGAAGCCACGTTGCTCCCCCAACCCTTTCTGCTGTGGACAGTATCCCAGCAATGGCCCTGTCTCCTCTCTGGCCTGGGACTCTTTGACATCTCCTTATGTGTCCCCAGTTTCTGGGCCACCTTCTTCTTTCTTTTGTCCCTCTGCTCTTGAGGGATAGAGGTTTCCTGCTCTTGCCAATCTCTGAACAGTCTCATATCCCAACATGCTGAACCACTCACCCGACTAACTCCCCACCACTGATTGTAGGTAAGGGCTCTGTTTTCCAGGTAAATCCTGACTCACACACTCTGACCCGAGTCCGCTGAAGCCTCTCATCATTATATATAGTTCCTTAGTGAATATCATCATGCTTTTGCCATCTTGGATTTTTTTTCCTTATGATAAACCCTCAAGAAGAGACATACTGAGTCAACGATAATGAACATTTTTAAGGCTCTGGTTATATATCATCAGAAGCCCTCCCAATGCATTAATATCAAGATATTCTTTAGATACTTGGGGATGTTTGAATATAGACTGGGCATTAGCTGATTCAACGTTGTTCTTAAGTTTGTTAGGTGTGAGAAAGGCAACGTGGTTATGTAAGAAACTGGCCAATTTTTTCAAGCTCACACACTGAAGTATATAGGGGCCCCATGATATCTAGGGTTTATTTTTAAATTATCATACAAATGGAGAACAGTAAATGAAGTATGGAGAAAAACTAATTTCTAAAATATAAGCCATGGTGTACTTGGGTTCATTTTACTTTCTTCTTATTTTTTGTGTATATTTGAAAACCTTTACAACTGAAAGTGATGTTGTTACCAATTAACAACATAGATGTATAAATTTTACCATTTCTCCCTGAGCATCCAATAGTCTATTTTTTTCTAACTTTAAAATCATGTATTATGGGCTGGGGTTGTGGCTCAGTGGTAGAGCACTTGCCTCACATGTGTGAGGCACTGGGTTCAATTGTCAGCACCACATATAAATAAATGAATAAAATAAAGACCCATCAACAACTAAAAAAAATCCTGCATTATATTCCTTTGCTATACTACATAATAAATTACTGCAAATTTAGTGACTTCAGACACACCTAACTATCTCTCAGTTTCTGCAGGCCACAGGTCTGGGTACAGCTTTACCAGGACTTCTGCTTGAGGTCCTACAGGCTGCAATCAGGAGCCAGAGCTAGGCTCTGAAAGGCGAAGGTCCACTCCAAACTCCCCCAGGTTTCTGGGCTCCACAGCGGCTTGCTTCTTTAAACTCAGCAATAGAGTCTGCTGGCAAGACAGTCTTACCTAACTTAATGTCAACATTTGCCATATTCTATGATTAGAAGCCAGTGACAAGTCACACTCATACTCATGGGGAACATGAATACTGAGATGTAGCAATTGTGAGGCACCTTAAGGTCTGACCACTGCACATGTATGACAGAACAAATGGACAGCCTGGAGAAGTTCAAAGATGAGAGTCACATTCTGCAGGAAACAGGGTCAGATTCCCTAAGAACTTCATTACCACTTCACGGTTCTGTCAAAGGGAAAACAAGAGCTTTCTTCTTTCCTCCCCTACTCCCAATTCCTGTCGTCTCCCCACGCTCGGCCGCAGGACTCTCTCTCTAATCTAAAACCATCCCTTGGGAAAGTCAATGCAGAAGCCATTCTCGCACTGAAGAATGGATGGTGGACAAAACTTACCAGGATCCTGGCCCAGATCTCCAAGATCTCCAAGAGATCTGCTCCAACAGAGGGAAATTTACTCGAAGACACATGAGGCCATTAAAAATCATCAGGGATGTGGAGCTATTTTAGGGTGGTCAAACTCATTCTGCTAGAGAGAACTCAGCTCTACTGAACTCAGAATTCTCAGCCCAATCAAAACAGTGGAACGGGATAGAAGACACAGAGACAAATCCACATAAATATGGTTGTCTCATACTAGACAAAGGTGCCATAAACATACATTGGAGAAAATATAGCCTCTTCAACAAATAGTGCTGGCAAAACTAGAAATCTATATGCAGTAGAATGAAATTTAACCCCTATCTCTCACCCTGCATGAAACTCAATTCAAAATGGATCAAGAACCTAGGCATCAGACCAGAGACCCTCCACTTACTAGAAGAAAATGTAGACCCAACACTCCATCACAGCAGCTTAGGAAATGACTTTCTCAACAAGTCTCCTTGGGCACAAGAAGTAAAATCAAGAATCAATAAATGGGATGGTATCAAATTAAAAAGCTTTTTCACAGCAAAGGAAATAATTAAGAGTGTGAAGAGAGAGCCTACAGAATGGAAGAAAATCTTGCCACCAACAACTCAGAGCAAGCATAAATCTCTAGGATATATAAAGAACTCAAAAAACTTAACACCAAAACAAACAAATAACCCAATCAATAAATAGGCAAAGGAAATGAACAGGCACTTCTCAGAAGAAAAAATATAATCCATCAATAAATATATGAAAAAAATGTTCAATATCTCTAGCAATTAGGGAAATGCAAATTAAAACTACACTGAGAGTTCATCTCACTCCAGCCAGAATGGCAATTAGCAAGAATACAAGCAAGTGTTGGCGAGGATGGGGGGCGGGGTGGGAAGGCACATTCATACATTGCTGGTGGGACTACAAATTGGCGCAATCACTCTGGAAAGTATGGAGATTCCTTAGAAAACTTGGAATGGAACCACCATTTGACTCAATTATCCCACTTCTCAGCATGCAGACAAAGGAATTAAACTCAGCATACCACAGTGGGGCAAACATTCTTCCAGTGAGTCTATCAGGTAATGGTGAAAGAGGCTCCTCCTGCCATTTGCCTTGGTTTGTGGTCTATGCACCTGACAAAGGGATGACCCGGTGGGCCCTGGTGTGAGGCATACACTGCACCCTGTCAGGACAGGATGTTTTCTCCCCACTCATTCTCACCAAGCCTGTAGCAGAGCATTCCATAGTTCTATCCAGTCAGATCTCTCCCCACATAGAGGGTGAGGGGAGATGAGGGGAAACCAGTGAGCTGACTGCCCCAGCTCCATTGCAATAAAATCCTACCTCTGATCAGAGGCAATGTTGGACAGCACAGTGAAAGATAAGGCATTCTTGTGGGACTATAACGATCACAGAATGATCATTATAAGGTCCAGGAAAACAAATTAAGTGTTGCCTCCTCCATGAGGGGAGAAATATGATATAATCAACCTGTCACCAGATAGCTGACTGACTGACCCCCACACCACTGCTGCCCAACCAGGGAAAGGGTGCCAGATTAGGGGCTCAGCAGCGACCTCTGCTGTTGACAGGTTGAACACTAGACTGTGGCAGTAGGCAGATGAGCCTGGGTGAGTGTCCATGTTTTGAGTTCACACATAACCCCCAACCCAGCTGCCATGGCTACTTCAGCCCATTCCGCACAGGAGTGTCTGGGGAAGTGGCTGATAGCTGGGTTGTCTTGTCTACCTAAGTGACTGGGGCTTCCTCTGTCATAGATACCCTCTGTAGGCATTTATATGAGATGAGTAGCTTTTCACATTCTGTGACTATTCTGAGAGGCTCATCCATACATCTCAGTGATGGTGCCCAAGACATCAGGATGCTGGCCATCCAGATGGCCCATTATCAGCTGCTCGGGAGTGACAGTAAAGAAGCACCCTGGGCCATCTCTCCATCTGGACATGTACTTATCCCCTGACATTCTGCCCACCGGGAAGCTTCCCTTCACCACTCAGACTGCAGAATCAGACTTGATTTGAGTTGGAATGCAGTGTCCATCATGTCCAGCTCATGTCCCTCCATGACAGCTGGTGATCAGGAACTTCCTATGGGTGTGGGTAGAAGAAGGGGGAAGATAGGGTTAGGTATCACCAAACCATATACTTGGTCTCATAATTTGCCACTTCCATTTTATTAAGGGAGACTTCTTTGCACGTCTAATCTTTGACCCAGTGGATCATATTATACCCAGTTCAACTGTCATCTCTGGTAACCTGGTCATTTGGTGTTCATGTCAAATATTAATTCTCTATCAGGACTCAGAGAAAGTCACAAGCTGCTTTTCCAATGGATAAAAGTGATCCACAGAAAATAATATGGTTCTTCTCCAAAACCCTAGGGGCCTGCAAGGTGATTCTCTTGCCAGAACTTATACAAGGCTCCATGTGGCATCTCTGCCTGCTATGGATTACCACTGGGTATCTTGAGTCACAGGCTGAGTGGCAGGGCAGCTTGCCTGAATCTGCTGCATAACTCTTTTTGGCTCTGGACTCCATTCCAGAGTAGAAGCTGTGTGGGTTATCTGATCGATGGGTGAGGGCGATACATCTAAATGTCACATACATTACCCCAAACACCTAAACAGGTTCACCAAGCACTATACCCTTTCTATGTGATGGGTGGCACAAGCACCACAATTTGCCTCTCATGTTATAAAGAATATTCCAACACAACTCTAGGCTAACTGGACCCCAATGTGACAGCCTCCTAAATTTCTGCAGACAGGATCTCCCTCTCTTTAGCACGTATCACTACAACATCTAGGATTCTGGCTATCTCCCAAACACCAGGTCTAATTAGCAAAATGACATCAATATAATTAAACAGCAGGATGTTCTGTGGCATATCAAGCTGATCCAAAGTCCCTTTGAGCCCTATTATGACAAGGAACTGGGAGAAATGATATAGCTCTGGGGACAAAACAAGTAAGGGCATACTCTTCTCCTGCATACCACTTTTGATTTTCCTCACTGATAGGATGGAAAAGAAAATATTTGCTAGGCCAGTGGCTACCTACCAGGTGTCAGGGGCTGTGTTGCCTTGATCTAGTAAAGATAGCTATTCCAGATAACTTCCCTTGACATCACCCTCTGATGGCTTTTGTGATGATCAGCTTTATTCTCTAGGACTTATCTGGCTTTTGTACCAGTCAGAAGGCAAGTTACATGGAGATTTTTCAGGACTGACTGTCCCTGTACCTCTCAAGTCTTTGGTGCTGCCTCTCACTTCTGCAGTGCTCTAGGGCACATGGTATTGCTTTTGCTACACTCTGGGCAAAGGAAAGCTATGGGTACATTTCGGGGGTTTCTAGTTGACATTTTCTCCCATAGAACCCTCAATCTGCAGGCCAGGGAAGCAAAATATGGGGATGCTACTAGTTTCTGTGGATTTCTACTCCCATCCTTCACTCTGGAACTGGAGAAATAACCACAGGATGGTGCATGATCCCACTAGACTCTCTCTTAGAAGTCTTCAGGCCAAGACAGCACATCCCACCTGGACTTCCTACTTCTACCTGTGACCCTCCAGGTATTCTGGTTCTTCAGGCACCGGGAATGGAGCCAGTGTCCAGCAACCTCCTGGATGGTGTGGACACTTGATGGTCACCCTGGTGGAGGCCATAGTTCCCCCTTGGAGGAAGATTCATGGCATGCACTTTGCTCAAAGGGACTTAGAACCTCCCACCCCAGTCAAGAGCCTGAGACCCTCCACTAGGAACTAAGAGGCAGTGCACCCCACTATAGTGACTCAAGATGGGGTTCTTTTTATGTGTGTCAAGCTTAAAATTTTTTCTTCCTATGTTCAAGCATAACCTTAGAAGTCTTCCAGCTATTTTTCCCTTTAGGGAAAAATTAGTTAGCAATCCCCCACGGATCCCTGAGACCCTTCAAGAACCACTCCACACCTCTGGTAATTCTCCCCGCTGTTTGTTTTTGATGGTCGAGTGCTGCCATCAGTCTGGACTCCTGTCACCCACCAGGACACTTCCACCTCTAGCCTGCAGAGGACCACCACTAGAGGGTCCTTCAGCATGACCAAGTCCCCACCATACGTGCACTCCTTACTGCTCGGCTGGAGGCAGCACCCACAGCTTCCCCAGGGGCCAGCAGGATGCAGAGACTAGTGAGCTTTCCTAAGCCTCCAGGGCCTTCCACTCCCCATTCCAAGGAGATTCTGGCACTTCCTCTTCACTCAGTGAGGCCCTCCCGCATTGGGTGTGAACTCCAGTTAGTCAACCTAGGAGATGATTAAAACTACTCCTAAATGACCAAGTCAAAATGTCCCTAAGTCCCCTGGAGCACCATATCAGCGAAGGTGGCCCAAGAGAGACTTAGAATTTCCCCACTGTGTCTAAACCCCTCTATCTAATCCATTCCCTTGGACTCCTGGTGATACAGATTGACGAGGTCTTATGAGTCTTTCACTACAGACTATCTACTTGACATGTGGTATAGACCTTAGACTTCTCCAGGCTAGACTGGGTTGGAACCATGGCTGTGGCCTGAAGGCACAGCCTGTGTCCTCAGGGGCATGGGTACTGGTTCGTACTGAATGACTGTTCAGGAGCCACTGAAAGGCCAAAGAGAAGGGGTGCTCAGAAAGAAGGAGAGGGGCTGCCTCTGCTGGTACACGGGGTTCAGGGGGACAATTCTTGGTCCCATCCATGTCCTCCCCTTGTCTCCGTGTCCCCCTCTCCCCACCAGGGCCCCTCCTGTATTGTAGGAGATCAGAGGGCTCTGGAATTTGACCAGCAGATCGTGGGTTTGGGCCCATTATACCTTCCCGACACCTGCCGGACACGAGGGACTAGGTCATGCATCGTGGAAACCTTCTGTTGTCCACGTGATCTCACCTATGTGGTCATAATTTTATATTTCTTATCAAGTATGCACTGCATAAAGATCAGTGAGAAACTACCTACATAACAGTATATACAGCCTAGCCTATGCATATAGCAGGCTGTACCGTGTAGGACTAGGTGAGTACATTCTAGGAGATTCACACAGCACATTTCTCACAATGTGTCCCCATTGCTAAGTGACTCCTGACTATAAATATGCTCTCTGGGTCTGTAAGAACCAGAAAATACTTCCTCTATCTCTATAATAGCATCATTGCCACAGGGACCAAGTGCCACAATCGCATGATATCCCAAACTGTGGTCTCTCAGCTTAGACTTGACATTGTGCTATTACCAGTGATAGCTTTCCGCTTCCCCCAGTAAAGAGATTATCCCTGTGTTGCACAGCTATAGCACCAACTCCAACTCCACGATCCTGTTTGGAGGATCTTCCTTCTAGGGTCACTCCTAGTCAGAATTCCATGCACAGTCAAATTGGGATCATCCAAGGAGATCTTGTGCATAAATGCTTGTGATGGAGCAGGATACCAGTATCGCAGCGGCCCAAGGCTAATGGTTGCATCCCTGTTAACCTCCCCAGGTCCAGTGGGTGGAAGGGAGGGCATCCAGGATCCAGGAAGAAGAGAGTTGGCTGCCAAGAAAGGTGCAGGGACTCTCAATGAAAGGACACATCAATCTGCAGCATCCTTGCTAGGAGAACTCAGGGAAGTAGAAACCCAAGGCCACGTCCTTCAGCCCTCTGGTCAGCTGCTAGAGCTTCTTATTGACCAAACCCAGCAAAAATTCAGGGTTCGAGACCCCATGGATATTGTCCACACAGGTCAGCCTCCTGGGACCTGGAAAGGCAGGTGAGGTGAAGAGTGGATATGGATGGGCTGATGGGAGACCTCAGCATGACCTTTCCCTGTGGCAGTCAGGGGAGGGGTGGCATTTAGTCCATCCAGGCCTTGAAGAAGGGGGGGGTCTTTCCTAGGAGCAGCTGGAAGGAGGACATCTAAGAAGAAAGGAGTGACATAAAGCAAACATGAAGAGACCAGAGCATCCAAGGTGCATAGATATGGCAGCTACTTGCCTAGAAGGTCCGTGTGGACACTCACAGCTGACAGGCAGGCCTGGCCTCAGACTCTGGGCCCAAATCTCCAGGGCTAATCTGAAAGGCATCCCATTTCTGGGTCTGTCCATTTTTGTGGTTTGGCATCGCCCCCATTGGATACTCAGAGACCTCCAGAGCCACAGTGGTCCACCCAGGGACGATAACCCTGGCCGGGTCTTGCCGCAGTCTGGCTGGGCACAATCAGGAGCCACTTGTCAAAAGAAACTAACTTTATTTTTAGAACCACACACGCCAAACAAAACAGCTGCTCAGGAAAAACCCTCAGAGCCCCAACTGCCACCACCGGCTTCCCACAAGCCTCTCCGGGAGCCAATCAGCTAGATGTTGCTGGGGCCGCTGTGAGCCAATCATCAGCCGGCAGCTGGAAGTTTGCTGGGGTCCCTTCGGCTGTGGCTCTCAATAGGGTCTCCCACCCAACATTTCCCCCTGCTGTTCACCAAGTCTCCAAGGCCTTTGGGCCCTGAGCTCACCAGGCCTCAACTGACCAAATGGGCCCTTTACTCAGCTCTCCCTGAGTGTCCCATTCTCCATGTCAGATGTGGCTCCCAAGCCAGAGGGGCTGTTGTCTGGTGTCTGTCTCCACAGAGAAAGTCCCAGGCAATGGAGGCTCTGAGAGAAGAAACTACCAGGTGTACCCAGAGCCTAGGTGGAGTCAAGGAAGACTTCAAGAGGAGCAGTCAATGACTATACCTTGAGCGTCCACAGCAGTTCACCAGGCAGATAGGAGCAGACAGTGCATGGGTGACAGGGATCAGCAGAAGCAGGTGTCTGGAGGCCTGGGAGCATGGACGATGCCAAGATTCCTGAGTCGGAGGACGTGGCAGGGGATGAGGCTGGAGGAATTTTCAGGGACCAAATGGAAACGGGCCTTAAATACCAGGCTTGGCAGTTTAGATTTCACCCTGAAGACAAGGGGCAGGTATCAGGGGTATTTACCCAGACTGCTGTGACTCTGTGTGCATTTTTCCAGATGTTACGATTCCTGTCACCATTTTAGAGATGAGAAACAGAGACTGAGGGCAGGTAAGTAACTTCACAAGGTGACATAATTCATATATTCTAGAAACACATTATCTCCTTGAATTCTTGGAGAGCTAAGCAGAGTACAGGGCATGCTCTAGCTGTCTAGTTATCCATCCCAAACTTCAAGGCTTAACACAAGGATCATTTACTTTGTTCATGAATCTGCAATTTGGGGGGAGGCTGAGAAGGTTTGTCTCGGTGTCATATACATCAACCTGGCGTCGGGGGTGTGCCTAGGACTAGGAGGCAGTCCCTGGGAAGGGTGCCCAGGTTGTCCACCAGTCTCCCTAGATCCTGGAAGAAACTGAGCCATAGCAGAGGGCCTCAGGTGTCAGGCAGACGCTCTGGTGAGTGTCCCCAAGAGGCAGTACCACCCTGGCTATTTTCTCTCCATTTTGGGGGCTTCCCCATGGGTATTAACAGCAACTCCATCTGTGCCCCCAGAAAAATGGAGCCTCTTGATTGAGGAAGGAGCTTTAAGTGGCCTCTGTGCCAACTCTCCAACTGGGCAGCACTGCCTGTTTGTATGTCCACCCTGCTCACACTCCTCCATGCTTAGCCACTTACCAGTCCCTCTCGTGGGGCTGCTCGGCTATTGACACTTCTGACCTGTTAATTGACTGGGACTTCTGCACCCTGGTTGCTGCTCTCATCAGCCCCAGGGAGCCAAGGAGCAACAACAGAAAGTACTAGTGAATTTCACCACAAGAGCCTCTGCACACAGTCATGGGAGTCTCAGGCTGTACTGGGTGCTTGGCACACAGTGGCCCCTCTGCCCTCCTGAGATAGGAAGGGCCTTCCCCATCTTGTTCATGACTGGGCCCCGATATGTGCTTGGCTAGATATGTGATAAAGCACATGCTGAATTGTTATCCCCATTCTGCTGATGAGAAAACCAAAGTGCAAGGAGGTTATTACCAGCTGAAGGTCACAGGCTTCTCAGGTGGCAGAGCTGGGATTCAGACCAGGCAGCCTGGTTCCAAAGTCTGTGCTCCCGACCTCTATCTGTACTGCTTTTTAAAAACATTACCTAAACTTTTCTTTTCCCACAAAAGCATCTCTTAACCTGATTGTGTTCTTTACAGAGGTAGTAACAAAGACATGACGTAAGTGGCGTTTCTATGACAATGCAGGATGTTCCCATCTCGTATAAATTTTACCATAATAGCCCAGTAAGGTTCACAAGAGCAGGGGCCCCTCCCTCCTTATTCATTGCTGTGCCCCAAAGCCAAGTCTGGCATCTAAGTTATACACAATAAATATATGTCAAAGTAGCTAACTTCACAGATAAGGAATCAAGGTTTGGAGAACTTAAGAAACTTGCCCAGGGTGGCAGAATTAGTAAGCAACAGAGCCTTGATTTGAAACTGATCTCTCTGTCCCCAGACTATTTCTGCCATACCACTTGGTCTCTCAGGTTTCAGTTTCTTCATCAGTCAAATTGGGATCTTTAGGCTCTTTAAGGACACTACAGGGACAGAAGATATGATGCGTATAAGGGTGATCTGCAAATAAGAAAGAGACACAGATGAAGGCCTTCCTTCTTCTTTTTCTATCACTGAAGCCTATGCAGGGCCTGGTGCAGAAGAGGAGCGTGGGACTGTTGCAATGGGAGACCCTGTGAAAGTGGGTGATGCCTAAAGGACATGAGTGAGACTGGCACGTGTGTGTGTGAGTGTGTATGTGTATGTGTGTGTGTATGTGTGTGTGTGTTTGGATGAATAGGATGGATAGGCTTGTGAATGGCTAGATGGGTAAATGGTTGGTTGGTTGGATTGATGGGTGGGTGTGTGGATGGTAGCTTAATGGGGAGGTGGAAAGGTTAATGGAAGGATGCTGATGGATGAAATAAATGCCCTTTTGAAAAAGTGTTGTCTCCTCTTAGCATTTTAGTCTTTATCCAGCAGGGGGCACCAAATCTTCAAGTAACTGGCCTCAGCTAGCGCCTCTTGGCATTGAACCACCTACAAGAGGGAACACCTGGGCTTCTCCTGTAGTTTATTGACAGCTCTGGCAGGTGAAAGTCTCAAGGCACTGAAGGCCAAGTCAGAGTCTGCTGAGTGTAGGAGCAAGTCATCAAAAGCAGGCTCAGAGACAGCCACGCCTGCTGCCTGTACCGGGGGTCTCAGAGAGCACACTCTCTGCCCAGGGCCCAGGGAGATAAGCATGCCTTCTTCTGTGTTCTCACAAGGACAGTGCTTGGTCTGCTGGAGGTCCATGACACTTACAGGTGAGGCCTTTGGGGCTCAGAGACGTCCCCCAGACGTCCCCCAGAAAGCACGAGGTAAGAAGAAAAGGCATCAGTCTCTGAGGATCCAAATGAAGTTTCTGTGAGAATGAAGAAAATTCTATTTGAGTGAAAGTAGTTAGTTCCTGGGGATGGAAGACAGTCTGGGGAGCTGTTCTTAGGCTGGGGAAGATGCTGCAGACACGGGAGACCATCCTGCCACCTGGGCAGACACCAAATGCACCCTGCCCCAGAGGAGCTCCAGGTGCAAGTTGGTAATGTGGGAAATGAAGATTTTATGTGAACTTAACTTGCACCTCCCCAGGGTGTGAATTTGCTCACTTAACAGGACAGTAAAAGGCCACGTATTCCCTTTGGTGGTGATTTTATGCATAACTGTCACTCCTGACCCCTGCCAGGATTTCTCACAGGGACAAGGCTTGGGTCCAATTGCTTCAGAGGGACCTCGAAGGGCCCTCATTGGCAGGGGGCACCCTGCAGAAAGCAAAGCCCAATTAGACACAACTTCAAAAAACAAAATAAACAACAACAACAACAAAACTTTAAGATGCCACAAAGCAACTGGCTGTGCCAAGCCAGAGGAGTGTCCAGCCCAGAACACAGAATAGCAGTCAGGCTTCGGGGGTGAGCTGGTCCCCATGATGCTGAGCGCAGGTCTGCAGCCTGGCCGAGGCCCACATGGGAAGGTACCTGCAGTGAGCCTTTTTTTCTCACATCAGTCAGTGTCCAGAACATGCCCAGGTGCTGCAGGCCAGCGTAGAGTTGAACAGGACCACACCTGCCCTGGCCTAAACCCTCTCCTGCTGAGCCTATAGCCTGAGACGTTTGTATTGCAACAGCCCCACTGAGCCAGCCAACACCTCTGCCACCAGGAGGGTCTGCCTCTTCTGCCAGCAGCTCACATCCAGGCTCCTAGTCCTGGGCTTCAATAGAATCTTCCCGTCCATTCTTGATGAAGTTCCTCGGGGGCATCCTGCTCACTAGTCACATGCACACCTTTGCACATCTGTGGGTTCCATATTCTCTGATCTTCTACTCTGTGCCTGCTCCATTTTTCATGCCAGTGAGACAGGGTGCTGCTGTAATTTGGTAGGGAAGGCAGAGATTTGGAAGATGGGAAAGGATGGGGCACATCAGGAGATGAGAACCACAGGCTTTGGAAGGGATCCCTGGTCTGGTGAATTCCAGCCCCTCCACCCTCATGCATGTGCAAGTGGATGAAACCCCCTCTGCGACTTCATCTCCATCCCCGGATGAACATCGGAACTGGAGCCAGACGGAAGCAACAACTGCGCAGAGTCGATGGCGAACTGCGAGGAGTAGATGAGGGAATCCAGAAACCCTGAGCAGCGGTGATGAGAAAGGAGCCACATTTGTCAGATGGGCCCTTGCCAATGTCCTGGAGGCTCAGGGGGCAGTTTGTAGCCTGAAGTGCTATCCAGTACTCTCCATGGCCCCAGTGACCCCAGAGGGGAGGCCTGGCACAGTGTTTGAAGAACTTACCATGGACTGGGAGCAAGAGTGATGGCACAGAGCGGACACCAGGGTTTGGAGACCTGAGGAGCCTTTCCTGATGCAGTGCTCCAGAGGCCCTGGGCTGTGAGCCAGGGAGGAGGCAAATCCTTGTCTGTGCTATTAAACCACCATCCAGCCACCTCCAAGAAGCGAGGCCTGTCACAGCTTCCTCTTGGACCATGCTTTGGGACTTTCTCACTTCCTCCGGGCTGTGCTACCTGTGATTTGCCTGTGCCTCCAACTCTTACCCTACAGAGTCAGGCCTGCCACACTGCCCCACCCTGAAAACACCGGGCCTTGAACTCCGCCTGGTCCCTACTGGAACAGCAGTCTGACGTACTTTATTTCTGTTGTGCCTTTTCCAGGACCAGCTGCCAACGGTCTGCTTCTGCAGGCCAACACAGCTTCTCCCTGCCCCCTGGCACCCCCACTGCCAATTCTTCAACCTTGAGTTGTCACAGTGGGCAGAGAACAATATGGGCAGATTGGACTTGTGCTGGGCTGTGCCTCTGTCTGGCCTGTGACCTCAGGAACCTAAATATCACCTATGAAATGGAGAACTGTGCCCACCTCTTGGGGAGGCTGTGGGTTTGTGTACAGTGACAGGATCACCTGGCACCCATGGATGCCAGGGAATGTCTGCTAGGTCTGAATTCTAGAAAGCATGGGACGGAGTGAGGGGGGAGAGTGCAAGGCACAGAATCTGCAGGCTTGATGGGGTTTAAAGCAACTCCTCACCTGTGCATGGGCCAGAACTCTCTCCCTGTGAGTGTTGATCATCTCCACATGGAGACATTCCAAGAGCCAGCCCAGGGCTGGGAGCTTGCGATCAAGGCTGGAGTAGGCTCCAAGGAAAGGAAGCCATCTTTCAGTGAATCTGAACGCCAGCAGCAATCCCTGAGGGGAGCTGACCACCAGAGCTGGTGCCCAGCTGTGTGTGCAGAGACATGTGCCCACACACACGGTGTAGGCTTGGTCGTGAAGCCGAAGCCTACTCTGGGTTTGGGCTGTGGCAGGATTTCTACCTTCTGAGTGCCACATGTGACTTTCCGAGCCTTCTTTGAGGCAGAGGCAGCCAGCTGGGCCCCACCTGCTTCCAAGGGCCAGCCTCACAGCTGGTGTTCCCATCACAGGGAGGAGCTGGCTCTGTGGGGATCTCGTGGCACCAGAGCCCAGCTCCCAGTCCTCTGCCAGGGCATGACCAGGAAGGAGGACTCTAAATAGGGAGAGGGAAGTGGGTGGAAACCCAGAAACATTGGTATTAGGAAAGACTGAGACAGCAGAGTGGAGGGGGGTCAGTGACACAGGGAAACAGTTCAGAACAAGTTGTCATAGATGGGAAAAAGGGAGGAAGGCAGAGAGAGACACGAGACAGAGACTCTAGAGTCACAAGCAAGAGAAACAGAAGGAGAGAGGGGGAGAAAGAGAACTAGATTCAGAGAAGGAAAAATTAAGACAGGAAGTGGATGCTGCAGGAGGGAAGTAAAGTCATAGAAGAAGGGGAAGGAGAGAGATTCCAAGAGCAATCAGAGGCAGAGAGGAAAGAATGCAAGATAGACAAGGAGCAGATGAGAGGACATGTTACAGGGGCAGGCGGTTGGAGAGGGAAGAGCCAGGAGGGCCTGAGGATCCAACCCTCTCCCCATTTTCCAGATGAGAAAACCAAGGCCCAATGAATCAGTAGCAGAATCAGGCTGAGAAAACAAGTGACAGAGATAGTGAAAGGAAAAAGACACCTGGAGGAAAGGTTGATAATGGATAGAAAGGTCCAAAGGGAGAGAAGCAGGAGGAGAGACAGGAGGGAGAGACAAGGTCCCCTGGCTGTGGCAGGAGACCTGAACACCCAGAGAGGTCAACATCCAGCCAGCCTCTCCCCAGGTGGTGGCTCTGCCGGTGGCTAACCGTCTCCAGGGCCCCCTACCTGATCCGCGTGATGGCTATCAGCAGAGACACAGAAGGACAGAAGGGGCACATGGCTGGGGTGTGGGGTGGGACTGACAGAGCTTTCCACTTCCACACCTTCCTGTCCAGCAGGATGCAGTTCCTCAGACCTCAGATCAGACACAGGATGTCAGATGGATGGCCCCTGGAGGTGGGCACCCTGGCCAGCCTAGGAAATGTCAGCCATGGACATCAACATCCATGAACCACAGACACGAGAAGCCACCGAATTTCTCAACCTGAGACCATGCAGCAGGACAATGGTATTGTGACAGTGAGTGTGTGTGTGACAATAATGCAGTTAGCAGGCACATCCAACCACCCTTTGTAAGCATGACTTACAAAGGTATAGAAGCAGACCACAGGGTTCAGGAAAAGGGCCTCAAACCAGGAGTCTCAGGCTGTGTTGTTCACAAGGTTCCAAGATTTCAATGAGGGTTTCTTCTTTTTCTTTTTTACTTTTAAATACATTTATTTATTTATTTATTTGTGGTGCTGAGGATCAAACCCAGTGCCTCACACGTACTAGGCAAGTGCTCTACCACTGAGCTACAACTCCAGCCTCTCAATAAGGATTTCTTGTGTGTTTTGTTTTGTTTTCCAGTATTGGGAATTGAACCCAGGTGCATTCTACCACCGAGGAACAACCCAGCTCTTTTTATTTTATTTTAAAACATAGTCTTGCTAAGTCACCCAGGCTGGCCTTGAACTTGCAATCCTCCTGCCTTAGCCTCCTGAATCACTAGGATCGCAGGTGTGTGCTGCTGTATGTACCTGTTCAATAAGGATTTTCAATTGCATTTTCATTTACTTGACAATATTTCTTAAGAGCTTTTCCCAGTTATGCAAGCAAATGTTTTCCTTTCCGGTAACAATTCAAAATTAAAAGGCATTTTTATAGGTTAACCCTTGAATTTCTGAGCATTGAGTGGGGCAGTTCAATCAACATCAGCCTTTATCTACTACTTCCCCTGGGCCACGAGGAAGGTGGGGTCCAGCATGGGCTGCCAGAGCCCATGCAGGGTGAGGAGGGTGTCTACACACACGGAGCTGTGGTTGTGATGAGAGAGTAGTTGTAAATAATCAAATAAGTATATTAAAGTAACGGGAGCCATGTTTCCACTGTTAGCAAGGAGAATTACAAATATGGCCAGAGAGAGAAACAGAACTAACCCGTGATGTTGGTTTGGAATCAGAGGTGGTGATGTGAACTCAGAGAGATACACTCTGCAGCCCTCTCTGCTGAGAGTGCCTGGGAGCAACACCCCAAAGCAATGAGCACTTAAATCTTGGCTTCTAAAAGGAGCCAGTGCTGCCTGATTCCAGGCCACTCCAGGGAAAACACAAGATGAATCTGGAACAGCCTGTAGTAACTGAAAGTAAATAAGTGCCTAAAGAATGATGGGGACAGGTCAGAAAGACCCAGCAGGTACTTTGCAGGAGCATCCATGGGCAAATCTGCATTACTCTCTGCACCAAAATAAGTAATGATAGTAACAGATTATAACTCCTTAAATAAAATAAGAAACCACGAGTCCAAACTGTTAGGGAGGAAAGGAAGGAAGGGAGAATTTGATGGTGAGCAGGATATTTATATAGTCTCAGAATTCCTCCCACAATATAATTATTTAGTATAAATGGAAAAGGGATTTCTGCAGTGATTTTCCTGTGGAGAAGCCTGGCAAACTCTCTCCAAGGGATCACAGCATACATTACCGGTGATGGGACAAGATGAAACCATAATACAGCAGCCCCTGGGACGTTCCTGCTGAAGACTCAAGACCTGAATCTAGTGATGAGGAGACATCACTCAAACCAAAATTGCAGGGTGTGCTGCAGAGAACTGGCCTGTAATCTTCAAGATCAGGAAAGCCCTGGCTCCGCCTTACTCTGAAAGAGACTGAGACTTGGTAATGTGAGACTTGGAACCAGATCCTTTGGCTCTAAAGGACACGAGTGGGACAATTTTAGATACCTGCATGGGTCCCAAGGAGTAGATGGCAGTCCTGTATCCATGTCCATTTCCTGAGGTTGATGGTCCCGTTGTGGTTACATAAGAAAATGCCCTTGTTTGTAGGAAACATTGGAGTATTTGTTCAGGACAAATTGTATGTATCCTACTTCAGCTTTCTGTAAATTTGAAATTGTTAAAACATGTTTTTCAATCTGCCCACAATAAAACTCCCAAGATAAAGATTTTTCATATAAGCAATGCCAGACCTTCAAGGAATGATTAACCCCCAATTTGCACACATCTGCCATATCAAAATCAAGGGCACTGTGGTAAAGGAAAATTGTAAGTTGATGGAACCTACAAACATGTATATAAAAAGCTGCAGTAAAAGATGGGCTGTGTCCAGGCCACCAGCTTCAGGAGCCTTTTCTGAGAGCCCTCAGTTGGCCAGCCCTTTGTCTCTGCCTCACCCTTCTGGCCGCTCCCTATGCAGTATGTGGCTGCAATGGCCAGAGTGCCACCTTGGATAAAGAGGTCATCTCACTGGAGAGTGGCAGCCTGTGAGGGGAGGGCCCTGGGGCATGGTACATTTGCTGGAGTACCAGGGCCAAACTGCCCCTAACTGCCTGCTCCAGACGTGTGTGAGAAAGACCGACATCCTCTGGTATGAAAGCCACTATTTTGGGTCTTTTGTCATTCACTGCCTAACCTAATCCTAACGATAGGTAGGCTATAGTTTTATTATATAATTTTATTGTTATAATCAACAATAGCAGACTATAGAAGAAAAGATGTATTTCATCTCATAGATGGAGGGGGGAAGAATCAAGAAAGTTCCACGTCGATTAGTGATTAAAAAAAAAAATAAAACTCTAAACAAATTTGGAAGAGACAAAAACTTCCTTGACTTCAGAAAGAAAGGAAGGAAGGAAGGAAGGAAGGAAGGAAGGAAGGAAGGAAGGAAGGGAGAAAGAAAAGAAACCCACAAGCAAGACTCACATTTGATAGTGACATGTTTTTGGTTTGCTTTTGGTTTTTGTGGTGCTGGGGATTGAACTCAGGCCTCACATGTTAGGCAAGTGCTATACCATGGAGCTACATTCTTTAGTCCTTTTTAAATTGTATTTATTTTATTTTATTTTATTTTATTTATGTATGTATTTATTTATTTTGGTACCAGGGATTGAACCCTGGTGCACTTAACCACCAAGATACATCTCCAGCCCAATTTTGTATTTTATTTAGAGATAGGGTCTCGATGAGTTGCTTAGTGCCTCACTGTTGCTGAGGCTGGCTTTGAACTCATGATCCTCCTGCGTCACTCAGGCTCTGGAGACACTGGGATTACAGGTGTGCACCACTGCACCTGGCTTAATTTTGAGACAGGTTCTCAGTAAGTTGCTGAAGCTGGCCTCCAACTTGAAATTCTCCTGCGTCAGCCTCCCAAGTTGCTGACACTACAGGTGTGTGCTGCCACATTTAGCAAGAGTGAGATTTTTTTTTTTTTTAATCTGGAAGAAGACAAGGATTCCTGCTCTAAGGAATTCTGGTGAATTCTGTTCTGGACACCCACCCCCACACCAACCCCACACGCACACGAACACACACACACACACACACACACACACACACACCACACACACCACACACACACACACACACACACACACACTCCCCCCTCCATCAGCACAGTAAAATAAGAGAAGGAAAAAGCATAAAGATGAAAAAGGAAAAAACAAACTTCATAGTCTGCAAATGACATTATTATCTACATAAAATGCATCATCTACAAAGGAGTAATTAAAATGAAGTATAGAGGTGTACATGAATATAAAATAAATACATAAAAAGGCCATGCAGTGACACATGACTGCAACCTCAGATAGTGGTAAGATCCAAATTTGAGGCCAACTGGGAAATTTAGCAAGACTATCTCAACACACACACACACACACACACACTCACACAAACACAATTTTTAAAAAGATGAATTGCTTAGTGCCTTCCCCAAAAACAGAATTCACCATAATTCCTTAGAGCAGGAATCCTTGTCTTCTTCCAGATTAAAAAAAAAAAATCTCACTCTTGCTAAATGTGGCAGCACACACCTGTAGTGTCAGCAACTTGGGAGGCTGACACAGGAGGATTTCAAGTTGGAGGCCAGCTTCAGCAACTTACTGAGAACCTGTCTCAGTAAGTTTATAATAGCAACAAATTTAAACATACCTTAAAACAAATTTAATAAACAGATGGGTAAGCTTTATTAAAAATGAGAAAAATTTTAAACTTTATTGAAAAAACATTAAGAATATCTTTAAAATGGGAAAATATTTTAGATACATGAATAAAAAATGGTTACTTACCAGTGTCACATAATGATCTATAGATTCCTTATTCTTCCAGTCAAATTCCGGAATGTCTCTTGGGGAATTTTGCAAGCCAATTCTACAGAGACTTTTTTCTTTTTAATCAATGAGCAAAAAAACTGAGATAGTCCCCCCAAAAGAAAAATAAGATAAGGAGGCCTGCCCCATGAGCTAGTGAGATGAATTATAAACCACAGAAATTAAGAAAGCATGGTGGTTGAGAAAGGTATTATCAGAGCAAAGGAACAGAATAGAGGCTCCCAAAATCATGTATCAGAATGTCGTAAAAGGCAGCTGCGTTACTGAAGAGCAAAGAACTGCTTGCTGAACAGTGCTGACCCTTCTGGTTGCTCCTTATGAAAAAAAAAAAAAAAAGAAATGTGATCTGCACCTGACACCAAACACAAAGATAAGTGCCACATGGACTAAGGCCTTCACATGGGATAGCCAACTGCTTCTGTTAATTTTAGGAGAAAATATGGGAACATTCTTTTATGAACCTAAGCTATGGAAGAACTTCAACAAGACATTTAAAAATGCAAATACCAGAGGAAAGTGCAATCTATTTGACTATGATAGCATTTAGAATTTCGGTGTATCAGAAGATGCCCTAAGTGCTGGGGTTGTGGCTCAGTGGTGGAGCGCTTGCCTAGCATGCATGAGGCACTGGGTTCGATCCTCAGCACCACATAAAAATAAAATAAAGATATTGTGTCCACCTAAAACTAAAAATTAAATATTAAAAAAATAATAATTTTTTTTAAAAAAGATGTCCTAAGAGAAGCAGGGTGTGGTGGCAAATACTTGTAATCCTAGCTACTCCAGAGGCTGAGGCAGGAGGATGGCAAGTTCAAGGCCAGTCTCAGAGACTTAGCAAGACCCCATCTCAAAATAAAATAAAAAGGGTATGTAGTTCAGTGGTTAAAGCGCTCCTGGGTTCAATCTCCAGTGCCATAAAAATTTTAAAAGATGCCACCAGAAAGTGAAAATACAAGTGTAAAGTGGGTGTGATGAGTTATATTTTCCATAGACAGCTGTGACAATAGCTCTTACCCCACAGGCCCTGCTAGAGCCTTGCCACTTCCCATCAGGAGACAGTTTCTATCCTTTGCCCTTGAGCCTAGGCAGGTATTTGTGGCTGCCTTGAGCAACAGGGGACAGAGAGTACGAAGCTGTGTGACATCCAAAGCTAGGTCATAAAATGCCATACTCTTCAGCCTCATGCCCTGCTTCTGGCCTTGGGCTGTCCCCATTCCACTTGTACCATGCAGATGCCACAAGGCTGCTCTCCAGCTCAGACCCTGGCTTTACCACATCAGATATGCTAAAGTTTGCTTGAGTTTGGCTCCTCCAGCTGTCTCCTAAGTCCCTTCCTCAGGTCCACATGGCCTGGAGCCTTGCTCTGGCCCTACCTGGGAGCAGACCTGAGAGGTGGGGAGAGGCCCAGAATACAGAAATGAAAGACATATCCAACATCCACTTATGCTGAGGAGACAGGGAGGGAGGGGAGGCCTGGAACAAACCCACATGGGTACCCTCAGAGTGGGGAGTCCTGTCCCCACCAGCTGCCTGGTCCTGTCCTCCAGACATGCCCAGTGAGTGGGAATATGTTGGGCCTTGAGAGTTGAGCCCTGCTCTGCCTTTGACGAGCTATGTGACTCTGGCGTGTCACTGTGCCTCTCTAGGTCTCAGCCTCCCCAGCCCCCAGGTTCCTGTGGAAATCTTTTTTACCATCTTACACCTGTCAGGGTTCTGATATGTGCTACAGGTGCTCCATAAGGAAGGCCCTCCCTGCCACCCTTGTGCCTACCCAAACCTCCTGCTCATTTGCCAAGACCCTCAGACAGCAGAAATCATGCCAAAGCCATGTTTGTGTCCCAGGTCCCAGCAAGGGGCCTCACACAAAGCAAGAACCAGGAAATGGCTGCTGAGCACATAATGAAGCCTGTTCCTCTGAAGGAACCAGAAGGGCCTGCTCTGGCTGAAGGTCACACAAGCCTGTTACCAGCCACCCTGGGGATGGAGTCCCTTGGCTTCTTTGAGAGTCCTGTGAGTGAGCCGTCACGGGGACGTGGGGAGTCACCACCCTCCAGTCAGCTGCTCTCAGTGGATCTTGTGATACCCATGATAGTCCCATTTATTCACTTATTTTCCAATAATGGCACTATTCCAATAAGGGCTTTTTTTCCCTGCTAAGATCTGCAGACAAATATGAAGGTATTAATTGGCATCCATGCTGGCTTTAGTACACCTCTGAAGCTTCCATACCTCAAGAGGCACAGGGTAAACCCTCAGTGATCTGCGGGTAGACTGCCCAGGCCAATGTGCACTCTCAGGTGGTCTCCCTGGGCCTTCTATCTCTCTGGCTTTCCAACTTAGACTGAATCAAGTAAAATTCAATGTCCTGAGATATGCTCATGTGATTTTGGCCTGTTCCACCCCAGTCCAGTCCAGTCCCACTAAGCTGGAGGGTGCTCTCAGACATGAGGCAGCCTATTAACCAAGACATGGACCCTCAATGAGCTCCACTGTGGGAGCCAGTCTGTCCCACTGTCCCTCTGCCTGCTCCCTCATGTCCACAACAGCATTGCTGAGTCACTGTGTCTAGGAAACAGGCTAGAGAGCAGAGGACTGAGGCAAGAGACTGGGGTCACAGATGCTATGACATCCTGCTCTACAGATCCAAAGTCCACCCGGCTGCAGGGAGTAGCTGGTTACTGCTGACAGCTTCCCGTTTCAAGCCTCTCTGCCCCTGAAGAGAAAAGTCTTTCCCAGAGCCTGCTCACCTACAGGGGCCTCTCCATCCCTAGTGACTCTGGGCTCACTTTCTGCATGCACTTTATTGCTTTCTCTCCCCAATAAGTGCAGAGCCACAGCTGATTTTCTTCTAGGATCACCACCCCCCAAATGAACTACATGAGCCAAGCCCCTGTCTCTGGATCTGCTTTGGGGAAACCCAAAGGAAGACAACCATGGAGGAGGCTGAAGCAATAGCCCAGAGAGGTGCTGAAGGCCTCAACCAGGAGAGGGACTGAGAGGATAGTCAGTCCCAGAGACAAAAGTGAATGGGCAGGACCTGACAATGAGCAGATGTGGGAGGTGGGGTGCTCAAGGAGGCAGGGTTGCATCAGGTTTCCGAAGTTGGCAATATCTTTACTGTAATGAGAGACGATAGAGAACTAAATGTGGTCAAGTATGACTTCAGATTTTCATGAATTTCAAGTTTCAAATCAAAATATTAAAATTCAATGTGAACTGAATTTATAAATTTTCAATTTCAAATTTTACATATTCAAAATTATAGTTAATCCTCATAACAACCTTGTAAGAGAACCTTCAGTTCCAGGCAGGGAGCTCAGTTACTGCAAGACTCTTATGGTATACAGGGAGGAAAATGACCCTCCCCCCAAAACATATTCATTTCCTAATCCCCAGAATCTGAGACTATTACCTATCATGGCCCAAGATGGGGATCACTTTATATGGCAAAAGATGTGATTAAGACAAATATATTGATTTCCCATTACATTAAAAAAGAGGGAAAAAGGACTTAAGGTGACCCATGAGATTGTGTGATAATACAAGATTATGTGTATTCAGGATTGTATATTTGATTAATGGAATATCAAAGGCAGTTATAAAAATAATGATGAAAAAATAATGAATATTTAATGACATGGAAAGATGTATAGAGCATCTTATTATGAAAAACTAGTCTATAAAATAGTATTTATAGAAGAGAATTCATTTTGAGTATGTACATAGGTATATGTAGTAGATTCCAATTGCAGATCATTTAGATATGCAAAAAAACAGTAATTTCATTTTTCTAATTTTCTTTTTTCTTTCTTTTTTTCTAATTTTTATTTCTGTAATGAACCCCCATTCTGTGAGGTAGAAACTTAATCTCAGTCATATTTCTAAATTCCCTACCCTCACCTCCTTTTCTCTGTTCCTACAGGTAGGTCAAGTGTCACCTGTTCATGGTGGATCCCCTGAGACAGACATTCCATTACTTTGTCTGAGTCCTGGCTGCCAGTCCTCACTGGTCATTGTCTGGTCAAGCTTTGTTCCCAATCATGGGCCCTTCAGTTCCAGGTAGGGAGCTTGGTTACAGCAAGATTCTTGTGGTATACATGGGGGGGGGGGATGACCCCTCCCCCAAAACATATTCATTTCCTAATCCCCAGAATCTAAGACTATTACCTATTATGGCAAGAGATGGGGATCACTTTATATGGCAAAAGATGTGATTAAGACAAGGATTTTGCAAGGAGCAGCTTATTATGGATTATCTGGGTGAGTCCAAAGTACAATTCCATGTGCCCTTGTAAGAAACAGAGGAAGTTCAGACAGACGAGAAGGTGATTTACAGATGGAACAGAGAAAGGTGCTAAGAAGACCAAAAGCCACCAGAAGCTGGAAAAGAAAAGGAAAAGATTCTGTTGCAGACCTTCCAGAGGTGCTGTGGCCCTGCCAACACTTTGATTTCAGCCCATGACAGATTTCCCACTGCTGGCCTCCAGAAAGGTGAGAGAACACAACTCTATTGTTTGAAGCCACCCAGTTTGTGGTGATTTGTTACAGCAGCCTCCAGAAACTGATACAGCTGCACATCAGGTACACTATGGTCCTGCCTGGGTCCAGCATGGGAGCTTTTCAAGTCTCTCCGTTACTTCCCACACTCCCAAGGGCCCAGGACCCCTGTGCTGTCCCCAAGCCTCTCCAGGGCTATGAGGCATTCTGGGAGGCTCCCTCCAGCCCATCAGCCTAGGCTTCTCTCAGATACCCCTGCTCTTCCAGCTAGGACCTCAGCAGGAACAAGGAGCTTAAGTGCCCTGCACCCAGGCTCTGCAGAGTGGGAAGGAACGGGTCTGTCCTGATCTTGGAGCCCCACAGTATCCCTCTGCCTTCTTGTGGCTGGTCCCCATACACCTTCTTCCTGGACAGAGCTGGGGGAGGTGAGTGATGGGGCCCCTTATTAGCACCCACAGTTCCTCACCTTCCCTCTAATTCTGTCTCTTCTCTTCATCAGGATATTCTTCTTCTGGGCTAAAATCTTGTCAGTTCTTAAATCTTCCAAATGGGTTGCTTCCTCTCATGCCTCGAACCAAATAAGTGCCTTCTTTTCTGCCTGTGTCCCACCATGACACGAAACAAATGTTTATAGCCCAGTCATCTTCTAGCCACATATGGCACACACCCATGATTGAAAAGAAACACTAAAAAAAAAAAAAAAAGATTAAAAGTGGTTTTATTTGAATCACATATATTTTTATTTATGATCCTTTTCATATACATCCCCTAAAATATCTTATATTCATAAATATTACTTTTGTAACTGAGGGAAAATTTGCTATTTAAGGAGATAACATTTAAGGTAAATTTTTAAAATAGGCGCGAAATAACTGAGCACGGGAACCAAGTTGAAGCAGCCCAGGGACGGCTGTGTTCCCTGTGGGCAGCACTCGCTCGGCTCTGGGCTCCCAGCAGCCAGGAAGCAGCAAAACACAGCCAGTTTTCATGAGTGAAACAGACCAACTGCTCAGAAGGACTGCTATTCTTAGGCCCAGGAGCAGACAGGAATTTCTGCCAAGGATCTGTTAGACACATATTATTAATCTACTCTTTCAAGAGAGAAGTGAAGCTGAGTAGTGAAATAACTTGCCCAGTGATACAGCTATGAAGAGGTAGAGCTGGGGTGGGAGCCCCTAAAACAGCCATGGGGAGTGTCCTTTAAAAACAGACCATGTGGCTTCTTTACTCAAAATCTCCAGTGGCTCCAAAGTCATTCAGGGCAAAAGCCAAAGTTCTGATGGCCTATGAGGCCCTGGTGAATCTGCCCAGTAACAACCACCCTGACCTCTTCCCCTGACTCTTTTGTTCCCTGCTCCACCCAACAAGGCTCCATGGCAGGGCCTTTGCCCTGGCTGCTCCTTGGCCGAGAACATTTTCCCCAAAGAACTCTCTCTGGAGAATTCCCTTACACCCTTTGAGCCCTGGCTCGAATGTCCTCTTCTAAAGAGTCGACACTGGCTACCCGATTTAACTTGTCACCCACCCCCTCCCCAGTGCTGCCCCCTGAACTACTCTATTTTTATCCATAGCACTTGTCACTTTCCAACATTCACGCTGCTTGCTATTTGTCATCTGCTCATTCTATTAGAAGTCATGCTCCACAAGGACAGGATTTATGTCTTTTGTTCACTGATGTCACCTAAGCACAGTAGGCAGAACCTGACACATGAGAGATGCACACTAAGTATTTGTTGAGTGATTGACAGATGCAGAGAATTCTCCCCACACTGCCAGGCACATGGTGAGGCCCAGAGAATGTGACTATTTATCTTGTGAAGCTCATGGCTAGGCCCACTTCCCTCTGCGAGTGTGATGGGCTAGGTCTTGTGCTAGTTACCAGCGATGGAAATAACCAGTCCTCAAGGACTGCCCATTCTATGGGAAATAATGCCAACTAACATAACGAGGAAAGCAAGACACATTTTTTTTTAAATTGGAGAGAAAAGGTGTCAAGAAAAGGAGAGAATTTATGTACAGAATCATGCTTTCATAGGAGTTTCCCACCAAGTGTTCATTAAGACCCAGAGGTAGATATGAACAGCATCATTTGCAAGCAAGTAAACTGAGGTTCATTAACCAAAGTCAAGTCGATAAATGAGTCTTTGACCCAGCAAGACCTCAGGATTCCAGTCAAGCTGGGCATAGGCAGGATATGAACAGGCAGAGAAGGGTGACTGCACCTGTATCTGTGCCAAGGACAGCAGGAGCCCAGGCACAGATGCAGTAGCATGTGGAATGTGTTCCAGGGCAGTCAGAATCAGGGAAGGGCTGGTCTGTCTGACATGTCACTTTAAGGTGCATTGTACACCTGAGCTCAAATCTCTGGCTCCTCAGCAGCCACCCTGGCCACTTGCTCAAGAACCTGCAAAAGCGGCACTGGGGTTGTGGCTCAGGGGCAGAGCGATTGCCTAGCATGTGTGAGGCACTGTGTTCGATTCTTAGCATCACATGTAAATAAAATAAAGGTCCATTATTGCAAAAGTAATCTCCAGGTCCCTTTGCTCAGTCTGCTGTGTGCCCAGTATCTCTGAGCATCCTCACCTGCCATCCACAGAAGACACAGATGAGATTTGAACGCAGGTCTCTGGCTCCTGGCTTATTTCTTATCAGGCATTCAAATTTCATCTCAAGTAACACTTACCCTGAGTCTTCAGTGCAGGGGGGGGAGAGGGGAGGAGGAGGGGGAGGTATCCATGTCTTAACATTTAATTCTCATAATTGTGCACTGAAAGGGAATCCCAGGTCCTGATCTATAGGAAAGAAAGCTGAGACTCAGAGAGGGAAGTAGTTTGAGTAGTTTGCCTAAGGCCATTCCCCTCCCCCCCACCCAAGGCAAAGCAGGATCCACTAGGGCTCAATCTCACTTGTTTGATTCCTGCCTTGGGTATCACTTTCCACTCTCACTTTCTCTGCCTTGACTTTACACCCCACCCATCTGGGGTCTCATTCCCCAGCTGAGCAACCTGGAGATCTAGTAGCTCAGCCCCCAGCAGGCTACGCAGGAGGAAGGAAGCTGAGGGAGATAGGCCCCTTGGAGAGCCAGGAGTGCAATGTTGTTCTGGGGGCTGCTCCCTGGCCAAGGAACTGTAGCAATCAGCGACAGGAAGGGGCCAGGCTACTCATGCAGGGTGGGGGTGGGGCGTCTCCATGCCAGAAAAGGCCCAGATGGCCTCGACCAGGGGTCACTGCCATTTTTTTCCTCCCCCTCAGCATGGCAATGCTTGATGTTTCGGTCCCAGCACACCCACCAGGCTGGAGCACCCGCCAACAGGGATAGGGTGGGGTGGGGTGGGCAGGAGAGGGGATTCAGGCTCGAGTTAGGGCCAGGAAAGGGCTTCAGAGAAACAGAGCAGCCCTCAGCCAGGCTGGGGAGGGAAGGCCTGTGGAGTGGGAGGGGCTGCTACTACTAGTCTGGAGAGAAGGAAGAGGAGAGAAGGACACAGAAAAGTAAAGAGGAGGAGAGTGGGACAGAGAAGGAAACAGACAGCCAGTAGAAGGGAGAGAAAAAAGAGGACCAAGCCAGAGGCACAGAGACCGAGAGAGAAGAGAAAGGAAAGTAGAGGGCAGGAGGACGACAGGGGGATCTGAGAGGGGGAAAGGGATCTCCCCCAGGGGCAGGGAGAGGCCCTGGGCAGCTCCTCTGCTGGCGCTGGGCTGCCTGCCTGCTGGACTCGGGAAGGAGTAGTGACCGCACCCATGTGGAAGCTGTCAGGGTCCCTCGAGAATGAGGGTGTGGGGAGGAAGCCAGACAGGAGCCACGTCTACCAGAGGAAGCAGCAGGATTTGACAGAGGCTGAGTGCGCAGAGCAGGGAGGCTGCAGCAGACTGGTTTCTCAGGTCGGGAGCTTCTCCACAGGGGGAAAGTGCGGCAGCCAGCCTCAGTAGGACAAGGACCAGGCTGGGTGGAGTTCCCAGAGAAGGACAGCTCCCCCAGCTCCGCCTCTTTAAAGATAAAAAACAAAGGCCTAGGGAGGGGAAAGGTGTGCCCAAGATCCTATCAAAACACCTCCCTCATTCATTCACCTACACAGTCACCTGTTCAATCATTAACAGCACCTCCATGTACCTAGTACTGTGCTAGAGACTGGGGGGACATAGAGGGACATGAGGTGGTCTCCACACACAGTCTGATGCGGAGGCATCACAAGAGATGCCACAGTGGTAAAGGAAAGCTCAGGGGACTCACCGACAGGGCCTGAAGGGGATACCAGGGCCAAATTGAAAGATGAGCTGAAACCAACCAGGAAGAGAGGGGAGGAGATATCATTCCAGGCAGAGGAAACTGAAAAACCAAGTGCTTCGCATTGGGGCCACAAAACTCAGCTCCCTGTGCTCTCCAGTGCACAAGGAGGCTATAATAAACTTTGTTTGTTATAAATCTGACTTTCCTCCTAAACTCCTCCCTCCCTTGGTCAACAGGAAAAAAAGTACATAATGTCATCCTATTTGGCTTGAAGTTCAGTCTGATCTGATCATTTAAACAATCCAGGTGATATTCAGTCTGCCTTGTATGAAAATGCTTCCTCCCTCAGGTATCTTTCACATACCATGTGGAGGTGTTGGAAAATGTCAGGAGTGTGAATGGGGGTATTGGCGGGGGGTGGGGGGATTAATGTGAGCAACCAGGCAGGAAGATGATTGCCCTGAAGAGGCAGAATCAGGACGCCACCTGACTCTCTAGGTTAATCCTCTACCTGCCTGATTGCTGGGCTCCTCAGATGGGGTCTCCAGCTAGCAAACTGGGGTCTTCTTTTATCCCAGGCCTTGCCTCCAGTGGTGATTCCACCTGACCAGATTACACCTGGGCTCTGGGAACCTGCAGAACCACAGTCTCTACCCTCTTCTTCATCTAACCACTGCCCAGGGGCCTCCCCACAGCCTCTCAATTCAGCCTGTAGGTCACTTGGAACACAAGACATCCCAGCTAAGCAAATGCTCTTGCCTCCCTCTCTCAGGCCACAGTATAAGTGCAAGTTTATAGGGCTGCGTGGCTCTGTGCTGCAAAGGATTCCATAACATGAATGACATACCAGGGTTTTTAACCATCCCCATTCTTATAGATCTCCCCCCATGTTTCAGTATTATAAACAATGCTGCCATAAACATCTTTGTGCTTTACTCTTCATGCTCATTTGAAGGTGTTTCTTTGGGGTGGATACCATGAGGTCAATTGCTGGGTTATATACAAAGTGTATTTTAAATTCTGATAGGATCTGTCAGGGGGCTACAGCAACTCACCAGGCCATCAACTCTTATCAACTTGAATATTACAATGGTTTGGATGTGGTTTATCCCCCAGGGGGCTTGGTCCCTAGTGTGATGATATTAGGAGATGGTGTGGACCTTTAAGAGGTGGGGCCTGGTGGGAGGTCTTTAGATCTTTGAGTTCTGCATTTGGAAGGAATTATAATAGTTCTTCTGGGATTCCTGAGTTAGTTCTCATGAGAGGGTTGTGAGAGAGTTGATTAAAAAAGGAGCAAGCCCGGGCCCCTCCCCTTTCTTTGACTTCCTGTCTGGCACTGTGATTACTTCCTCCTGCACAAACTCCCTTGTTGTGCAGTTGACCATGAGGTAGCGGAGCTCATGCTGGCACCATACCCTTAAACCTCCAGAACTATGAGTTGAACAAACTTTTTTTTGAGTACCCAGCCTCAATTCATTTTTTAGACTTTTATTTCCCTGATGACCAGCAAGGAGGTCATCTTTGCAACCTTAAATCCTTTTTATTTCTATTGTGAATTTCCTAATCAAACCCTTAGCCCAGTTTTTATTGGTTTATCTTTTTTTAATTTTTAATTTTTAAAGTTCTTTCTATTTTCTAGACATTGATCCCCTCTTATATATGTAGCAAATATTTCTCTTTATTTGTCATTTGAGTCTTAACCTTCCTCTGTCTCTTATTCAAAAAAAGTTCCTAATTGGCATGTGGTCAAATACAGCAAACATCTCCTTTAGGAGATGTTTCTTCTAAGTTAAAATTTGCTCAGATTTTTTCTGCAATTTTTGAAAGAGACCCCCTGAATTGTCCCTCACAAAGTAGAGGCAGGGTTTAGTCTACCTTCCCTAGCCGTAAGCCAGCCCATGTCCCAGCAGCCCCTGCCACCACCACCCTTCCATGTTGCACGATAGCCCTGAATGGAAACTTGATCCCACAAACTGACACAGGGCAGGGCCCTCTGCCAGGCCACCATGGTCCCCTAGGAGTTGTCCCACCAACTGCAAGCTGAACTCAGATAAGGATGCAGCTCAGCCTGCTTGGCCTGTAGCCATGGGTTGGGTCATCCTATGGGGTAAGATTGGCACTGTCATCATCTCGCCGATAAGATTCCTGTCCCTTTTTCTCCTCTTGATTAGCTCAGGGATCAGGCAGCTCTTCTTTTCAACCCTCAAAACACTCTAATTACACTCTAATTAATACCCCTTTTCTCTGACCACACGGCTGTCCCCACCCGGGGATGGCTTTTCGCCATGCTTTCTCCCAGGCCTTTCAAAGGGCGGTTGTGTTTCTCAGGAGTTGAGAAGAACAGGAAGCCTCCACATCGGGCTTCTCCCTTTCAGCCCCTCGCACCCCAGCAGCCCGAGCCCCGGTGCAGGAGCAGTTAGCTGTCCCCTTTCTTAGCTTCGTTCCCAGGCAACCCAGGAGGCAGCTAGCTTCCAGGGCTTGCCTGCCTTCTAGAGAACCCTGGCCCACTGTCCCCTTCCTCAGGGACCATTGCTCTCCTATGCGGTGGGGACCTTTCTTAAGCAACATTGTAAGGAAGGTCACACTCAGGGACTCCAAGATCATTTTCTGCCCATTTTTTCTCTCATTAAAGAAAATATAATTTAATTCCTTACAGGGCACTCTTCCTGATTGGGTGCCCACTGCCCATCTGAATTCTAGGTGACCGACAAGGCACATGTAGACATCTGAGTAGCGATCCTCATAAGAAAAGTGCTCTCTAAGGAGCCACTACGCCTGAAATGCTGCCATATGTACACTGTCACACTCCCCTCATAGCCACGGATTCTGCATCTGCAGATTCAACCAAAGGTGGATTCAAGGTTAAAGGGCCAGCCACTCTCTCACCTCGTCCATGGTCGATCTGGATTTAAAAGGTATCAGAGGGCATGGAAATGGGAATTGCTTCGTGGACAAGAATGAGAACAAAGAACTCCCCATGCATAGTTTCTAATGCAAAACAGCTTTGGTCAGTGTCCAAGTGTGGGAGACCAACCTTGCACGTGACTGAGTCACACTCCCCGGCTGGGTGCTGAGGCGCTCAGTCTCAGAAATGTGGCAGAGCTTTCCCCACCTTTCTTGGGTTCGAGGGTTGGTGTGTCTTGCTACAGCCCCATGGGTGGGGCTACACTCACCCGTTCCTTTGTAATATAACCCCTTGCCCTGTTTAGGGCATGGAAGCGCCTTGTGTGTGTCCCCTCCTCTTACTGTGCCCTTGGGTGTGGCCTATCCTGGTGTCAGTCAACCAGCTGACAGTGAATATCATGAAGATAGACTCAACCCCCTGAAACCTGACCCCTTGCCTCATTTGAATAGCTTCTCCTCAATAAAAGGGGTCAGCATGTGCTCTGCTCTCTCTTCCTGCGGACCCTTAAGGTCAGAGGAGCCGTCACAGCGACCCCAAAGAAAAAGGTACTTGTGTCTGTTGTGTGGTTATTTTGCGCAGCCCAGTTAGCCCAGTTTACCTCGCGAGAACAGAAACCCAGCATCTAAGTCCTCTCCTCTTCAGGGACAGTCTGACCTTCACTCTCCTGGGGCATGGTAACCTTATACCAAGGAGCCCTCACCCCAAGAAGAAGGTAGCTGCGATGAGTAGAGAGCCAGGCCCTGTGCCAATGCTTCCCATGCCACAGCTCATTTCATTCTCACGGCAACTTGATAACGAAAGTAGGGTGTGTCGTGATCCCCATTTTACAGATAGGAAAACTGAGACTCAAAGAAGTCTGAGATAACCTCAGCCTGGAGGCTGCAGAGACCAGCTCCAAAGCCTGTGATCGTCTAACCATTGCTTAGAGTTTTGGAGTCCTCATGTTGGCCACCCACTCTATCCTCTGTTCTCAGCCCCATTCCCAAAATGAAGTGACACTTCCAGCAGGAGGGGGCTTTGCTTCCATTGCAGCAGAATGGCAGGAGCTAACCACCGAGATGGCCACCCAGCCTGGGTGGAGAGAGGGCTGGATGATATCACAAAGCCACGCTTTGGGCACAGAATTGTGACCTTAATGCTTAGCTTCCTTCTGCTGCTGCTGGATAGACTCTGGTCAGCTCAGGGCTTTTGCAGACAATTTAGGGGCTTTCCCAGCCCTTTTACCTGGAGGGCGTCTAAGTTCTGGAGGCAGACAGAGGTACAGAGGTGCAGGGCACATGACCCATAACGGCAGCCCCTGCTGCCCCCATTCCCACTGGCAGCTCAGTCACCAGCATCTCCTTGATGGCATCTGTTGAAGGCCCATATTTCCATCTGCTCAGACCCACTCTTAGATCTAGGCAGGAGGGGCCTGGGCTTTGAACTTTAGAGGCCCACGCAGATCACAAAAACTGAAATACAAATATACAGATAGAAAAAGCCTTGCAAGAAATTACTTTGAAAGTCTACCGACCGACTAAGCCAACAAAAATGGCTGGAGACGGAGGAGGCAGATCGAACCCATCCCTGCCAGGCCCGAGGGCTGAGAGCACATCACTGTGTGAGCATCAAGGGCTCCTGGTGTCCTGGGGATGGGGGGATTGTAGAGGCAGACCCCTCACATATCCAGGTAGGCTCTCAGCTGCCCCCACCCTGCATGGACCCCTCAGATCAGCGCTGGCAGCACCATTAACCTCACAGCAGTCTGAGCAGCCAGGTGGTAATGAGCTCAGATGGGCACCCGCTGCAGTAATTAAATCAGGGCCAAGGGGAGTGGGTTGTAATTGAGTGCAGGGAAGCGAGGAAGCGGCCTGAAGGTCTCAAGGAAATCAGAAGCACAGAGGCGTTCATGCAGGGCATGGCTCCGGCTCTGGGGATGGCACAGGGTAAAGGACAGGAGACCCAGCTGAAGCCTCCTCCAAGACTCACTGAACCTCAGAGCAGGGGTCAGTTCCGGCACCTCCATGCAGTTGGGGAGGCAGGGCCCAGAGGGAGGCATAGCTCCTGCAAGGGCCAGACCTTTGATAAATGGGCTCTCACCAGCCACCCCCTCTTGTATCTTAGCAGCTCTTGGAATGCAGGACTGTGACTTGCTCCATGGGGCCTTGTTTCCTCATCAGGATGTTAATGAGACCAAGTCACTGTAGTCGTGCATCCCCAGGACTACAGCTTCCATCCCCTAAAAGCCAAATATAATCTTAAGACTAATTGGTCAGATCAGGAAATTCAGCAAATAGATTTTCTGCTGGTTGGAAGATTTCTGTCTCATCTGACACCCCCACCCCCCCACCATACACACACTTTCTAAGCAAGAAAGCAGCTCTCCAGGGCACATCTCAGAATAGCCAATAATTCATATAAAATTCAAAAGTATGGTAAGTTGTATTCCTCCCAGTCCCCATCACCCAGTGCAGAGCTTCTCATAGAGGGGGCTTCAAGAGTATTTGGTGAATGAATGAACAAATGAATGAACAAACCACGTGTGTCTTGCCTGAAATAATATCCCCATACCAATAGCAGAGCTTGACACAGCAACTATGCCAACGGGTAGACGGATGGTGCATAGGACACCTCCTCTGTGCCCTTCAGACCTGCTCTCCTTCCCCTCAACCCTACCCTGTGTCCAGAAGTTGACCAGAAGGGGCAGCACTGACAGGCTCCAGTGCCCTTTGGCTTCTGGTTGGGTGAACCCAAAGGGGAGCCAAGCAGGAGTTAGGAGAGAGGCAGCCAGGGAGGGAGGAGGGAAGAGGAAAGCCATGGTACTTATTCCTGGGTGTGCTCTCTCTCTGTGGTGCCTCAGCCTGGCCACTTCCCTTGATGATAGGCTCGGCTCCTGCTGGGCAGCCCTCTCTGCCTCCTTCCTCCACTTCAGCCCTTCAGGTTCTGGGAGACACTGGTTCTGCTGTTTCTGATTCTAGGGCACTGGAAGGATCCTGTGTGGTTTCCTTGCACACCACCTGCCTCCTCATCTTGTTTTAAATGATCCCATATAAAGCTCATTTTTAACTATCCTAATTTAAGCGTGGATCCTATCTTCTGCAGATGGGTAACCGGATAACTGGGTGAATGGTTGGAAGAAGCAGGTCTAGTGCAGTGGTTAAGAACCCAAGTTTTGTAGCCTGGATTTGCATCCTAGCTCCACCACAATTAGATGTATGAACTTGGACAAGTTTAGTAATGTCTCCAAGATTTCGTTTTCTCAACTCTAAAATGGGAATTAAAATAGTAACTTCCAGGGCTGTTGTGATAATAAATGCAGAGCTGAGCATCTTGCTTGGCACACGGTAAGTGCTCAATAAATGGTTGCTATTGCTTCTGTGGCTGGCTGACCAGATGGTAAAAGGAAGGCCCATGGTGTATCCCCCATGAGCCACCTGAAGTGCGTGAACAAGGAGATCAATCCAGGTCATGGTGTAAAATATCTCTGCCTTGTCCCCCCACAAGCATTGCTGCGGTGGGTGGTTACCCAGGGTGGGCAGATAGAGAGTTCTAGCTGTCTCCTGCTGGGGGTCCCCATGATTTGGTCTTCTCATCCTAGAGTGGAAATGTGGGGAACATGGCTGATCACTCTCTGACAAAAGTGACCCTAACAGACTACACTGCTCAGCCCCCTAGTAAGCTTCCAAGTCTGACCTTTCAGAAGGCCAGGAAATAAAGGCCAAGAGGTCACAGGCCTTTCTGTGGAGGCATTCCAGGTCAGGAGCTCCCAGTGAGACCTCCCTTTAGAGGCCTGAGCCCAGGAAGGGAGGACTCATGGTGTCACCAAGGGCAGCCTGGTCGTCCTACCCACTTGCTGGGTGCCCTCATGCTGCCGAATTCCCCCGTGCAGCTGCACATACCCACTCCCCCGATGGTCAGTGGCGGTTCACTGCAGCCTCTGAGCCAAGGGCCATCCCAGGCTCTGGAAGCATGGACGGGGCAGAAGTAGACCCAGTCTTGCTTGTTCATACCACATATCCAGAGGTGGTCACAGCAGGAAGGTGGTTGAGTTCAAGTTCTCACTTCACAGCATAGACAGTGGGGTCCAGAGAAGACAGTGACCTGCCCAAAGCCACCCAGAGCTTGAGAGCACAGCTTGTTCCAGCCTGGCTTTCCCAACCACCAGGCCAGTGTCTTTCCACCTCCTGAGTCAGCACAAACCGTGGCTTGAGGCCAGGGAACTGGGGCACTTTGGAAACTGACTTGAGTTCAAGGTGCGGCCCCCTCCTGACTTGCTGGGCGTCTTTGGCAAGTCACCAATCTCTCTTAGCCTCAATTAAAATAACTTTTTTTTTTTTTTTTTTTTTTTTTTAAAGAGAGAGTGAGAGAGAGAGAATTTTTTAATATTTATTTTTTAGTATTTGGCGGACACAACATCTTTGTATGTGGTGCTGAGGATCGAACCCGGGCCGCACGCATGCCAGGCGAGCGCGCTACCGCTTGAGCCACATCCCCAGCCCCAATTAAAATAACTTGGAAATTAAAATAACTCCCTCCTTGCAAGGTTCTTGTGAGAATGAAGAGAGAACATCTTCATTGTGCCCGGCATACAGTAGGCCTGAACGTGCAGTAGGTTAACCCATAAGGAATCGCCAGTTTTCAAGTCACGGTCTCACCTCATTATCTTTTTCATTACCATGACCATCATTAACTAAGTGCTCTTGGACATACTACTTTGTCTCTAAGTCTCCTCATCCAAAGCAAGAGAAATGATGGGCCAAGCAGCCCGTGTAAGACCTGGCACAAGCAGATGCTCAATAATCCTAGGTCCCCTCTCCATCCCCTCCTCATATAGTCATTTCTTTATTGGCTGCCACGGGTTGCGGGTTGCGGCGGGGTGGGGGTGGGGCTCTCTTTTTCTGATGGTCACAGCCCAGGAGGCACAAAAACAGTGACCAAGAGAAGAGAGAATAAGGAGCTGGTTTTGAAATCATCTTCTCAGAGAAGTTTTAAAAGTTAAAAAAAAAACAAAACCACATGTTTTTAAAAACCTGGCACAGAGCAACACTGTCGGTCATGCCCAAGGCTTCCCCTGGGCCCTGGGGCAGGAGGCCAGGGCCCTGCTGATAGGCCGCTCCTTCTCCACTCTCCCCTGCCAGCACTGTCCCAGAACCTGAGCAGGAGTCAACAGGAAAATCATTTCTGTGTGTTCTGGGTCACAGATGAGCAAATGCCAGAATGTTCTTTTGGCAGCTGGATGCTACCTGGAGCCACAGTGGAGCAGAATATTCCAGATCTGGGAAGGCCCTGACGTCTCTGAGTCCAGCCTCCTGCCTAGATGGGCAGCTGTCACACCTAGCTCTCCAAGGATAGAAATGTTATCCCACCCCTAATTCCCCCTGTAGGGTTCCCTTCCTTTTGTCCTCCTCTGCCTTTCCTTCCTTTATCCGTCCATCTCATGGCCCCGCAGCATCTTCCTGCTCTCACAGGGGGCCCACTCAGGAGTCATACAGGGAAGAACACAATGCCCCTGCCCCTGCCCGCTTCTTCCTCACTGGACTCTCGTTATCTATTTAGCATCTAACTCTTCCACCAGCCTGGACCCAGGAGAAACTGAACCCAGGTGAGTCTGGACACAGGCGGCACAGGGCACATGGGAAGCACTCCAAATATAGTAGCTCCCCTGTCCCTTATCTAACAGAGGATACACGCCGAGACCCCCATGGGATGTCTGAAACTGCCGATAGTACCAAACCTAGACACAAGCATTGTGAAACCTCCACGGTTGATCTAATAACCAAGATGGCTAGTAAGTGACGAGCAGGCAGCTTACACAGGGTGGCTATGCTGAGCCAAAGCATGATTCACAATCTGGGTGGGACAGAGAATAGTGCAAGATTTCACCATGCTCTCAGCACAAAATTTAAAAACGTATAAATTGTCTCTTTCTGAAACTTTCTACTTAATATTTGTGAACCTACACAGGTAACTGAGACCATGGAACACAAAACCACGGAGAAGGGAGACTGCTACAGTTGTTTAATGTTAAGTGAATGAATAGCTCGGCTCTGGGGGAACATTTTTGGTGAGAAGATGCCGGCTGCTTTGAAGGGAGTCTGTTCCCCTGAAGGGAACAGGCCGGAGGTGGTGGGCCCAAGCCCAGGCAGGCACAGCTGGTCCCCAGGCCTCCTAATGCTGGAGGTGTCATCCCCTAAGAGGCCACTGCTACTCAGAAGCTTCCCATAATTCTCCTCACCAGGAGTGGGGGATCCCCAAGCCTGGAAATTCCCAGTAGGTTCATCCCACTCCACCCTACAGCACCACGGGCCTGGTCATTCTCAACACAATTTCTTGGAAGGAAAAATTGGCTCAAAATCAGAAGTTCTGGAATTCACTACAGGAAGTGGCTATATGAATAAGAGGAAAGGTTTCTGATTAAAGAGTCAAGAATTCTGGGTTTCGATTCCCACTTTAGAAAACATGGGCATGGATTGGGTCCTGGGTTCAACTCCAGCTCTGCTGGTAAGTCAGATACTTCACTGAGCCCTCATTTCCTCTTTTGAAAAGGGATTACAATATCTGCCTAGCAGGTTCTTGTGGGGATTACAGAGGAAGCAGCTGGGGCAATAGTCAGCAGGCATGCAAAGATTTTCACTTACTTCTTGGTGAGTAGCTGCTATCCCCTGAGGGCCCCTAGCCCAGCAGGATTCACAAAAGGTTAACATCTAGTCCAGTAGGGGACTACACCATCCTGGGGCCCAAATTGAACTAAATGGGTAAGAACAAAATGCTCTGTAAACTGCAAAGTGCCCTGACCTCCACATTCGCACCTCCAGCTCAGATCTACCTCCTGAATATGGATATTCGCCCTGTTTCCAGGACCTTCCACATGGATGTCTTGCTCACCACTATCAAATTGAGCTGTTTGTCAAAGGAATTGGCTCCGCCTCTGCCCAGTTGCTCCAGGAAGGAGCCTTCAGTCTCCCAAGACTCTTTCATACCCAGTCTCTCCCCTGTTCAGCAGTTCTGTTTTTCCTCTAAGTTCACAGACCCATCCCTCCTTCCTGGCCCTACCTGCCTCATTCCCTCATCATTTCTCTGCTAAGTTGTAACAACCACCTCCACGCTGACCCTTGGGCACCAATGTATCCTTCCATTTTATTCTCATACTGTGGGCAGAACCACTTTCCAAAAGCAAGGGCTTTCTCATTGAACCCCCAATGAAACATCACCATCACCCATCATTGACATCCATCAATGATGGTTGATGCAGGGAAGTAGACCTTCTGGAATGTTCATTGCATGATGTGAAGAACAACTCCCCATTGCCTCCAAGATAAATCGTGAATGTCTGGTGAGTACAGAGGGTCTTTGTGATCTGCCCCAAATGTCCTCTTCGTTCCACTTTCATTTCTCCCTTCCCTCCACTTGCTCCCAATGTTCTAACCATATTGTGCTTCTTGCAGTTTCCCAGGCTCAACATGCTATTTCACACCTCTTTGCTTTTGCACATGTTATTTCATCTGCCTGGAATGCCTCGAAATGGAAAAGAGAAATCCTATTCTCCCAGCCAATTCCTACTCCTGCTAAGCTCTGCCTCCCCTGGGAAACCTTCTATTCATTCCTCCAAAGCTGATGCTTCCTGAGCCCTGGGCATAGCTGCTGGGTGCTGATCTGCCCTTATGGACAGACCCCCAGCTTCATCTTGGCTCAGATGCACAGGGCCTGGCTACTCGGTGACTTGGATTCATTTTGTGCTGGAGTGGGATGTCTTGGGCAGCAGCTGCCAAGGAGAAGAAACTTCAAGTGAGATTTGGAAGCACGAGAGTACCCAGCCTGTCTGGGGGAGGCTGCACGGTGTCTCGTATTGCTCATCCTGACGGTGGTTGTCATCCTTCTCCCCCTCATCACTACCATCATCATCATCACCCAGTCATCAGGGTCTTGCTTTCAGGATGCTGACCACATGCAAGGCTCAAGGCCATGAGTTTGACGGCAGGCCTCCCTATAATCTTTATTTTATCTTCAATATTAGTAACTCCCCCAAGTTGGTACTGCAAGTATCACTATTTTATAGATATGGAAATTGAGGTTCAGGAAGGCTAAGAGCTCTGCCCAAGGTCACTCATCTGGTTAGTGATGGGGCTAGCTAATCCAGGGATGCTCTCATTTACCATATTAGTGGGCAGCTGGCCACACTGATCTCATCCCTTCTGAGTCCCTCCCACCCCATCACTGTCTGCGGAACTCCTTTCCTAAGTGAACAGACTTTCCACTGAGATGTTGGGTGGGCCCGGCTGGAGCAACCATGAGACCTGGGAGGGCACTTGGGAGGGGGGAAAGAGGACATTCAGATCCCTGTGTACCCTTCTAGATCTCAACAACATGGTGTTTGATTTATCTATGGCTACTGTGGTTGCTGTGCATTGCTTGGGGATTTTGTTCCCTCCTCTTGTCTGCAAATAGAGAACACAGAGTCCCAAAGTGGAAGAGGCCCAGCCACAGTCACTCCGTGTGTTGGGGTGGGAGGGGAGCAGCTAGGGGTAGCCTGGACTCTGGGATCCAGGCCTGAGTAACTGTGATTACAGGCACATGCCACCACACCCGGCTTAGACTGGTTTTAATCAAGCCTCAAATGTACTAACCATGTGAAGTTTGGGGAGATCTATGATTGCTCTGGGCCTTAGTCTTCTCATCTACAAAATGGGATTCTAATTATTTTCGGCAGGATTGTCATGAGGACCCAATGAGACAGACACTGAGGGTATCTGATGAGGAAAGAGGGTCTGGAGCCCAAAAGGGGCCATATGGCAGATGGGATTATTATTGAGTCTGGGGTCAGATAGAGCTAGTGGATTTGTCCATGGCTCTCCAGTCCTCACAGGACAAGGCTGAGTCCTCCTCATCCCTGGAGCTCAGCATAAGGCCAGGCCAGGCTGCCCATGCCTAGGGTCTATTGAAATGCATGGAGGCTGTGCAGGCAGAACTGGCCCCGTGGCTGGATCATGCAAGAAGAAAGGCATAGTGTGAGGGAGCCCTTTATACTAGAATTCTCGGGAGGTAGAAGGAAGCTGTAGGAAATGGGCAATTCCTTGGAGACATTCCAGGATAATTTGAGCAGTGATGTGATTGCCAAGAATTATTTGGATCTGTCAAATCAATGAGGCTCAGAAGAATGTCTAAATTGGAAGCGACTTAGAGGCCCTCAAGTGCAACATTCTCCACACATAGAAGGGGAGACTGAGACCTGAAAAGGGAACGGACCGCCCAAGGTGGACAGTGCCAAATCTAGGGTGAGGAGCAGGCCTCCTGCCTCTGCAGAGAAGGGACTGGTGCACTTATAACCATTTTTCAAAAACAGAAAAAACGAGGCCTAGGAGAGGCAAAAACTTGGTGAGGCCACCAGGTGGGTCTATGATGAGCCAGAAGCTCATGGCTTCAGGATTCCCCCAGGGCCTCCTGAGCTGAAGTGTATCTGGCTAGCGGAATAGGACCAGAGCCTAACCCAGCCCTAGCAAGGTGGGATGAATCCTTCCTGGGCCAACTGGGCAGTGTCTTCTGGCTAAAAATGTCACCACCTACTGTCCTGCCTCTGCTTCATCTGCCAAAATACTAGCTCTGGAAGGAGAGGTCTGTGAGGCCCGGATGACCACCAGTCTGAGGAGGCAATGGGCTCAGAAAGGGGGCAGTGGCTGCTCCAATATCCCACAGCCAGCCTAGCTGGGCCCAGCCTGGCCCCCACGCTAGGTGAGTGACAGACAGGAAGGCAGAAACAGAGACACTAACTCAGAGGGCATGTGCTTACCTGGCAGAGTGGGAGCAATCACGGAAAAACATCTGCATCTACTTGGTAAATAGCTGGCAGCACCTGGCAGCCCCAGCCCTCACCTGAGGGGAAACGTCTGAGGACTAGGAGCAACACAGCCTGGATTTGCACGTCTCGAGCTGTGTTCCATCACCCCCAGCCAGCACCCACCTTCCCAGTCCCTGTACTCATTGGCCACGCCCTCCAGCATCAAATTCCAGGAGACACTCACTGCCCAATGGCCCCAGGAAGCCCCAGCATGATCTCTCACTCCTTCGTGAGTGAGCCTTCCTATAAGTGCTTCTCTCCCTGGACTGCTGTCCCCCTAACTCTTACCTCTAATTCAGCAATGGCTCCTTTGAGAGGCTCCCCAGGCCTCCCATGTAGCCCTCCTACAGCCTGAAGCCAATGACTCTCCCAGCCGGCTGCCTCCTTCCCTCTGTCACAGTGCAGATCCCACCAGCAGCCACCGCCTGAGTCCACATTGGCCTCCTGCACCAGATGGAAGCCTCTAGAAGGTAGAGGCAACATCCCCAACTGCAGCAGAGGGCTGACTATAAAGAATCCATAACTTCCTCCTCCCTGCCTCCTTTTTTTTTGGTACCAGGGATTGAACTCAGGAGCACCTGACCACTGAGCCACACCCCCAGCCCTATTTTGTATTTTATTTGGAGACAGGGTCTCACTGAGTTGCTTAGCACCTCGCTTTTGCTGAGGCTGGCTTTGCACTTGTGATCCTCCTACTTCAGCCTCCAGAACCACTGGGATTACAGGCATGCACCACCATGCCTGGCCCTCCCTCCTCATTCTTCTTTCCTCTTTCCTTCCCTCCTGAACACCTACTATGTGTCAGGCACTATTCCAGGTGAAGGAGATGGAGCAATGAACAACACAAAACCCTGAAACATGATTGTCATTCTCTGTGCGTGTGCATGGAGGGGGGCGGGGGCTGGTGAAAAATAAAATAGACCAAATAAGTTCGGATGGTGACAGATACTAGAAAGAAACTAAAAGAACGTTTGTTGAGCTGGAAACTGCAGACGGGGAGGCGAGTTTCAAAGGGGTGCAGTGGGCTGGGGGAGTCTCTTACCTTCTCTCTCAGGGGCTGCCAGGCATTGGGAAGGGAGACATGTGGGAGGGAAGTCTTGGGCCCTCTGGAAGTGCCAGACGTCTCTCCACCCACAGGCACACTTCCTGGCTCTCCAGGAATCTGATTCAGTGACAGTTCTGAAGCAGTTAGTTTTCAAACAGTCACAATAGATGCCATTTATCAAGGGCCTTGAGGGGGGGTGAGGGGGATGGCCTTCTGTAGCTCTGAACCTTCAAGTGCCTGGCCCATGGAGGCGGGCATGATTAGCCCCTATGGAAGGGGGGCCCAGGGTCACACAGCCATTTCCTGGGCCAGCTGGGATTTGAACGTGGGTCTGGTGACTCTTGGGTCCTGTGCTTCCTCTCACACCCACAGCCTCCCAGTGTCAGAGGAAGTCAGTCGTCTGATGGTAGAAAGAGCCAGGGATGGAGAACAGGCTGAAAGAGCAGTCTGGAGAGTGAAGTCTCCTGACCCCAGCACAGGTCTGCGAGGGGGAGTCCGTCCCTCAGCTCCTCTGGGCCTCAGTTTCTCTAAGCACCAGGAGGAGCCCTGAGCCCAGCCCAGCTGAGATGGTTGCTTTGAGAATCAGATGAAATGCAGAGGGCAAGTATTCTGGAATATACCACAGCCCAACAGCCAGCCCCTGAGACCACCCCAAGACCACCTCTGCCACTGCTCTCCAGGTTTTTCCCCCAACCTGGTGCCTAAGCCTATGCCAAGCTGCCAGTCAAGTATGGCCGTTTGGCTACTGAGCTTGGGCAGAGGTGAGAGTCATGAACCTTGCTCGAGGTCAGGGGTGGTGCTGAGGGCAAAGTTGCCAATGTGGGAAGGGAGAGGTAGGGCACCCTGGATTCCTGCTGATGTGGAATGACTCAGTAATATTCCCATTCCCTTCCCCCAGAGCCAGCTGCTCTTCCCCTGCTCCGAGGGGAGGCAAAGCCAGCACTTGCTGAGGGCCTACTGTGTGCTCTGTGCCTTCTCAGGCATTGTCTCAATTTATCTGCTCTGGGAAGTGCAGGGAGTGTAAATATCTAGATTGGTGTCGTGTGAGCACATCTGTTTGTCAGGGCTACCACAACAAAGTTCCACCCATGGATGACTTAACACAAATTCGTTACCTCGAAGTTCTGGAAGCTGGAAATCCAAGGTCAAGGTGGCAGCAGAGTTGGTTTCTTGAGGCCTCTCTTGCTGGTTTGGAGACGGCTGTCTTCATATTCACATGGCACTCTCCACGTGTCTGTGTCCAAACTTTCTTTTCATATAAGGACACCAGTCATTTTGGATTAGGGTCCACCCTAACGACCTCATTTTAACTTACATGCCTCTCTAAAGACTCTACCAAATTCAGTCACATTCTATGACCCTGGAGGTTAGGATTTCAACAGATAAAATGGAGGGAGGGGGGCCACAAATTAGCCATAACAATGAGTAAGTGGCAGAGTCTGATGTTGAACTTGAATCTTTCTGACTTAAAAATCTGCCCCTTTTCTGACATAACACATTACATTTCTCCCCTTCCCCTGAACCCAAACATTTGTCATTCACCTGCCACAGGGGAAGCCACCACAGTCTGAACCTCTACTCCATGCCAGGTATTTTACCCCTTGTTTCACTTAATACAACTCAGTGAGGTGAAGAACCTTGAAGAAGAAACTAAATCTCAGTGAAGGGAGTAGCCCAAGTGCACAAAGTGAGTCAGCGGCCATGGAAGGACATGAACTTGAGTGTGTCTGGCCTTTTCCCTCCACCGCCTCGTGTCTCCTCCCGTGGTGACAGTCATATTGCCTGACCAGGCTACAGAGACACAGCAGCATGATGACATGGCCAAATGGACGTTGGCACCTTGGGCTGGATCAAAGAGCTGCCAGGCATTAGCCATTTAATTTCTGGAACGGCCAGACCAAATGGGGAGCTCTGGGGGAGGCAGAAGGATGTGGCTTTTCCCCAGTAAGGCAGTTGTGATGTGCACTGTCTGAACAGCGCCCTCTTCTCTATCACCAGTCACTCCTTCAGGGTTTAAGGCTTTTGTCAAAAGCCAGAATTTGTAGATGGAAAGACAAAGACTGACAGAAACTTCTGACCTAGGAGGAACTTGGCAAGAAGGGGTGTCCTTCCTTAAAAAGTGAACCCTTGTTCTCTTTTCTGAGCAAAGGAGGCAAGTTGGAAGGGGCCTGCGAAACACACTGTCCAAGCTCTTCACTGGACATTAGGGAAATTCATCCTGGGGCCAGAGATTTTCCCAGGTCTGTGCAGTGAGACCAGAGCCAGGACTGGACTCCCTGGCTCCAGCCTCCCTACCCTCCTCGGCTCAAGTACCCCAGGCACACCACCATTGCCTACTTGTTGCCTCATCCCATGAGCATTACATGTGACTTCAACCTCCTCTTAGTCTGCTGATGTCCTCTGGAGATAAGCAGTTCAGCACGGGTCACCATAGTTCCCCCAGAGTGCTCTGACCTGGGTGAAACTGGAAGCCATCCCTTGGTCTACTTGTTGTCCAAGGCC